AACGAAATCCGGCGCGGACAAAGAATCGTAATGGCAGGCTAGCAGAATATTCTGACCAATCCCTGAACCAAGACGACCGATAATGTTATGGAAAGATTTCATGCCGATGACCGTATCCTCGGTGAATGGGTCCAACTCAACGTTCCAACCCCGCCGGGTTAAATAGTCCGTGATATACTGTTTGCAGGAATGAAGCAACGTGGAGATACATAAAACGATAAAATTTACTTAAAGCCGAATCAGCATAGCTGTTCACAATTATTCAATTATTCAAAATCAATAGAAAATGTATTATCAGGTGCTACATCGCTCAAACACGAATGTCAGAACAACTCAAAAAAGAAATATCACAGATTTAATTTACTTGAATCATTGTTCATATGTTCGGTTATATACATGCATTGGCAACATCGTTTTCGGAATCAAGCATTCGATAGGTTACAAGACAGGCACATATTCAAGGATGAATGAGCCAGGTCAAAACTGATCGAAAGAATACTTTAGTTGCCACTTGACCCCGGAGAAGGGAGCGAGATGGACCAAAAAAATCGATTTGTGTGCACAAGTTGAATCTTAAACTTTCAACTGCTGTAACTTCGACAGATATGGATTTGCTGTCTACATGTGTAACTCACAATTGCTTATGAGTGCTGGTATAAGGTACGGGTTTTACATCTTGATTGACCAACTTGCAGACTTGTAGGTATCTTACAATTAGTCGACACGTTCCTTTATCACAACAAAGGATCATTCGCTGTTTTACGGAAACTGGGGAGGGACGAGTGTTCATTAGTCACTTTTTCGTTCGCTTTGTTTGTGATGTGAAAACTTCCTTTCTGTTGTCTTCATTTAACTTCAGATTCGGTTTCTAGGAGGAAAACATACTTCCGCCTAACATGCCACCAGGTTCAATCACCAGTGGGATTCGAGACCTCTCCTGCGACTATGATCTCTACCATAAAAAGTACTGCTGCGACCTCTTATTGCGTAGCTTTCGATGGTTCTCCAAAGCAGATGCAATAACAGATTTATTATCGGGATACTAACAAGCATCAATGTTTCAATGTTAAACAACACTTCAACACCTAAAATCATTGTATTCAAGATAGACCGCATATTTTTACCAGTATTTCATCTATCCGACAGTACAGCGTGTGCTTTTAGTGTATGTCACGCGCTTGTTTTGGTTATTGATCCGCCCTCTTACATACTTACGCCCTTATGCACATATGACCCACATTCCTGATGACACACAACATAAGTTAAAGTTAAAAGAGAGGCATTGGTTGACTTGAACCATCACCTCTTGTGTCAATCCAAACAGATATTCTTTAACGGCGGGCGATAGATCCCGCACGAGTGCTTCGGTCACGATTCCGCGTTGGATCTAGGCCCCATTGTCTTGTGGGTCAGATATCTAAGTTGATGGCTCCAGTTAGGGTTCTCAAATAAAACCTCTTCGTCGGTGTGGGCTGCGGCGATGTATGTCGTGCCATAGTCCTAGGCACCCATTTGGGAACCCCTCTTCACATCTGTATAGTTCCCTCTCTCACTTCCGAATAATCCCAAATGCCTCCTGATTAAGCCACCAATCGAATATCATTCAGCGTTTTACCATCAAGGCCAAACAATCAGAAGTTATACAATTTTTGGAGCTAAAGTTCTCTTTTCACTTAGGCGCCTTCAACGTCCGCACCCTAGCAGATCGGTCAACAAGCTGTCTTAGCTATAGCTTTTAAAATTTTTAATTTAGACGTGTTTTGTGTACCCGAAACACGCATACAGGACCCTTTTCCAATCATCTCTCTGCGCTCTCCTGCTGCAACCACATCCTCCCACTTCACCCTGCGTATGCCAGACGACACGGCATCCGAACCTCGCGATGTTGCTGGTGTTGGCATTGCGCTAAGTGCCGAGGCTGAAAGTTCGCTTTTTGACTGGAATCCAGTCAGTAGCGGACTGTGTGCTGTACTTCTCAATGGTTCAATACGGGTCAACAGCTACAGAAAGAAGCGACGATGCTTAGTCGTGGTATCATTGTATGCACCGACCGATTGCCATCACGACGAGACTGCAGCTTGACGTGGTAGGATAGCTTGCGTGCCTCCATAACCCTGCGAGCTATACAGGGTGGCTTTTCACAGCCGTAGATCCAATCATGCCTGAAAGGTCAACGGGTAGAGGCCACACGAAGCTGCCTCACAAGGCCAGCTGCTTGGGCACCTCCTAGCCTCTTTCATTTATCCGCACACGCCCCTGGAGAGGCCACTCCAACGAATGAACACGGTGAAGAGCAGTTTATAGATCAAAAGCCCTTTAGGTGGACGTAGGAGCGGGGTACCTGGGGCTTCCTCTCGACGGTGGGAGAAGTCTTCGCACTTCATTGTATACCTACCGCCCTGCCCAAACTGGGCAGCCCCCAGTCAATAAGATGCTGTCCAGTCCACGTTCCACTTGTCTCGTTGGGTGCATGAGGCTAAGGGCCGACCCCGAAAAGCGGACCGATAATCAACGCACCAGTGAACAACACAATTAATCGAAATTGCGTGACAGGTCTCTAGAAGCTCCCACACGGG